CAGCTACAGTTGCAGCCTACCTCCCCTTTGCCTGCTCCTTCTCCCTACACTAGTCCTACTGGAGGTCTGGCTGAGCGTCGTGAGCCTGCGTCTCGCCCTGCGTCGCCTGTCCGTGCTGCTCGCACTAGTGGTCGCGGTTCGCGTCAGCGTCCTCCTCCTGTCCCTGGCACGCACCGGATGTCTCTGCGTCCGTCCACTGCTCCTCTGCGTGCCCCTTTGCCTTCTCCTCCTGAGTCCTCTCTTCCTGCTCTTGCCGACCCGGAGTCGGACTCTCTTCGTGCTGCCAGTCCTACTGTCACGCGTCTCCTTGCTACTGTTGTCACTGACCCTTCTTTCGAGTCTACTGCTGCGTCTGCTCTAGTTACTGAGCTCGTCGACTTTGCTGCTCGCTGTCGCTTAGACTACGCTGCTAGTCTTGTCGCTGAGTCTGAGTCTGTCTGTCCTCCGTCCGTCGGGGGTGAGTGTGCCCTTGGCACGGACGTCCTTGAGGACAGGCAGGAGGAGTTCCAGTGTCTGGCAGCTGCCTCACCTCATCTCGTGTCCGTACTGCTTACCCCTGAGGGAGACCCGGATGCACTTGACATCCCGACTCCGCGCTCTTACGCGGAGGCGATAGAGGGTCCCTACTCCTCTCAGTGGCAGGCAGCTATGGATGCAGAGATGGCTTCCTGGAAGTCCACAGGCACCTACGTTGACGCTGTCCCCCCTCCTGGGGCGAACATCGTCAGTGGCATGTGGATCTTCAGGGTGAAGCGGCCGCCGGGTTCTCCGCCTGTCTTCAAGGCGCGTTACGTGGCTCGTGGCTTCAGTCAGCGGCAGGGAGTTGACTACTTTCAGACCTTCTCCCCCACCCCGAAGATGACCACTCTTCGGGTACTGCTGCACGTTGCTGCTCACCGTGACTACGAGCTGCACTCTCTTGACTTCAGCACAGCTTTCTTGCAGGGCAGCCTGCACGAGGAGATCTGGCTGCGTCGCCCACCTGGCTTCACTGGGTCTTTCCCTTCTGGTACCCAGTGGAGTCTCCGGCGTCCAGTCTACGGTCTCCGCCAGGCGCCACGTGAGTGGCACGACACACTGAGGACTACACTTGCGACTCTTGGGTTTGCTCCTTCTACTGCCGACCCGTCGCTGTTTCTACGCACCGACACCTCTCTGCCGCCGTTCTACATCCTCGTGTACGTCGACGACTTGGTCTTTGCCACAGCTGACACTGCTGGACTCGCCTACGTGAAGTCCGAGCTGCAGAAGAGACACACGTGCACAGACCTGGGTGAACTGCGCAGCTACCTTGGCTTGCAGATCACCCGGGACAGAGCACGCCGCACCATTACCCTGACTCAGTCACACATGGTGCAGCAGGTCCTTCAGCGCTTCGGCTTCACGTACTCCTCGCCTCAGGCCACTCCTCTGTCTACTCGCCACTCGCTCTCAGCTCTGCCTTCGGATGAGTCCGTAGAGTCGAGTGGCCCGTACCCAGAGCTTGTTGGCTGCCTCATGTACCTGATGACCTGCACACGACCTGACCTTGCATACCCTCTTAGCATTCTGGCACGCTATGTTGCTCCTGGGAGACACAGACCAGAGCACATGGCTGCAGCGAAGAGGGTGTTGCGCTACTTGTGCAGTACGTCGGGCATGGGGCTAGTGCTTGGAGGGCGGAGTCCAGTGGTCCTCACTGGGCACGCGGACGCTTCTTGGGCCGACGACCAGGCTACGCAGCGGTCGTCACAGGGTTACACCTTCAGCCTTGGTTCCAGCTCTGTTTCGTGGCGGGCTACTCGCTCGTCTTCTGTTCTTGGCTCGAGTTGTGAGGCTGAGATCTACGCCAGGGCCATGGCTGCACAGGAGCTTCGCTGGCTCACCTACCTGCTGACCGACCTTGGAGAGCCGCCTCGTTCTCCTCCAGTCCTGTACGTAGACAACAAGGCCATGCTGGCCTTGTGTCGAGAGCAGCGACTGGAGCACAGAACAAAGCACATTGCTCTCCGCTACTTCCTTGCTCGTGAGCTACAGCAACGTGGTCAGTTGCGGCTTGCGTACGTGGCCTCTGAGGCCAACACTGCTGATGTCTTCACCAAGGCACTTCCGCCCTGTGATCATCAGCGCTTCTGCACTCAGCTGGGTCTTGTGCCCGTCTTGCCTCACTTGCTCTCCTCTTGACCTTGCCTGTACTCTCACATATATATATACCTGCTCTTGCTTGTCTAGCTTTATATATATGTGTGTACTCTTGCATGTGAACTGGCCGTGTGGCCTTGACCCTGTGCTCGGACTGTGTGGTGACTTTGTGATCCACCCTGAGCTTGCTTTGCTTTACTTTGCTTGACTGGTCTTGTGACCCCTTGTTCTCCCCCACTTTGCCTATGGGGGTGTGTCAGAACATTATAGCTTATGCTGTTGTGTAGGCTATAGTGGGGTATCCCATAGGGGGTACAACCAATTAGGGTTTCATATTTGTACTCACTTCATTTCATAGTTCACCCATTCTTGTTTCAAATCTTCTCAGGTTGAAGGTTTGATGAGACGGACGCCCTGACATTGCGGGTCTATCAGGAAATAACCACCAGGTCAAGGCCTTTCGAAACTCGAACTTTGTAGTTCGAGTGAGCGGGGAAAATTCCAGTGCCAGATTATTCCTGCGTTAAGCTCGCATTGAGATTGTGTTACATTAACCCTGAAAATTCTTCGAGCGTTGCTAACTACCTTCGAAATCGGTTTTTTCGAGGGTAGGTACCCCAGGTCGTGAAGATAAAGGGTGTGGAAATATCGGAGAAGAGGTGTAGTGCGAAAACCAGTTTTGTTGCGAGCTCCTCCTCGTGCTTGACGAAAAACGCTCGCGAAAGCGTCCGACACTCGTTGATTCACAACAACGTGTTCCCGCCTTTCGTTGACCCTTACCTCACACAGGAGAGATCACTAGAAACGAATTTTGCTACAGCGCCCGCGAACACGCCGGCAACCTGTCGAGAACCAAACAAGCTCCCAAGGCTGAAACCCTAGGCTGCTACCCTACCAAACCTCCCTAGGCTGGAATTCTAGCGAAGCTCGACGCAGTTTCCTAGATACTTCCGGAGCTTCTTAATATTCCTTATAAGGACAATTGCTGACGCGTGGCGTCTACCGTAAGCGCGCTTCGATCGTGGCCCGCTTTTCGTGCGACTTTCGATGTTATTTTTGAACCCATTCTATTAGGTATGCTGGAATGATAATCAGTCATAGCGATTGATGATACCTGGCCAGCGTTTTGACACGCTATCGCTAAGTGCAAGCGCTATCGCGATGTGTCAGGTGGTCGATATTGACTGCCACGTGACGTCGTCGTTTTGCATCTGCCATCCCATTCTCCCATCGCATCTCCTCCATTCTCTCACCCTCAACTCCTCTTTTCCTCCCGTCATCATTTCCTCCCGTTTTCCCTTCCCCTTCTCCTCCCGTCCGCCCATCCTCATCTCCTCCCCTTCTCCCTTCCGCATCTCCCCACGTCCTCCCATCATCATTTTCTCCTGTTTCCTCTTCCCCTTCTCTCGTCCGCCCATCCTCATCTCCTCCCCTTCTCCCGTCCGCCCATCCTCATCTCCTCCCCTTCTCCCGTCCGCCCATACTCTCTTCCCCCATTGCTCACTCTCTTTCCCCCTGATCACGCTATCCCCCCCTAATCACTCTATTCCCCCATTATCGTTCTCTTCCCCCTTCTCCCCCTCTTCCCTCTTAATCACACTCTCCCCCCTGCTCACTCTCTTCCCCTCTCCACCCACTCTTCCCCCCGTGGTCACTCCCTATCCCCCTGTCCACTCTGTCCTTACCTCCAGGCTCGTCACATCCAGGCTCGTCACATCCAGGCTCGTCACATCCAGGCTCGTCACATCCAGGCTCGTCACAGCCAGGCTCGTCACATCCAGGCTCGTCACATCCAGGCTCGTCACATCCAGGCTCGTCACATCCAGGCTCGTCACATCCAGGCTCGTCACAGCCAGGCTCGTCGTCACAGCCAGGGTCCCTGCCGCTAGTTGAAATGCAAGCTTCAGCCTGGGTCAGACCGACTGGCACAGCAGTGACCTGTGAGACGAGTCTTCTTTGCCACGATGAGACCACGCTGTTGGAATACAGTTACGTGCCTGGCAATGGCAGTTCTGCTGTATTTCGCACCCCCATCGCCATTGGCAGTCAATTGCCGCCATCGCACCCTCGCACCCCCGCCGGCCCCTTTGTCGACCCTCCACGCCCAACCTTTGCCGAACCTCCACGCCCACCCTTTGCCGAACCTCCACGCCCACCCTTTGCCAACCCTCCACGCCCCTTTGCCAATCCTCCACGCCCACCCTTTGCCGACCCTCCACTCGCACCTTTTGCCGACCCTCCACGGCCACCCTTCGCCGACCCTCCACGCCCACCCTTCGCCGACCCTCCACGCCCACCCTTTGCCGACCCTCCACGCCCACCCTTTCCCAACCCTCCACGCCCACCCTTTGCCGACCCTCCACGTCCGCCCTTTGCCGACCCTCCACGCCCTCCTCTGCCGCCCAACGGCTCTATTCCCAGTGAGCCCCCTACTGCAAGTAGAGGCCCAGCTAGAACCACCACCGCTGGCACAAGATCAAGCCCAAAGTGGGACGATGATCTCACAGCGGACCTTCTCCGCTGTGTCATAGCGGCCATGCGGGATGCAGGCAGAGCGCCCTTTGGCAAAGTGCAGTGCTGGGACGCTGTGTTCGCCCGATGGAATGCCCAGCATGCCGACCTCAACTTCACGGAATCGCAGCTGCGAAACCGGCTCAACGCGGTGAAGGCGTGGGTGAAGGACATCAGGCAACTCAAGTCAAGGGTCCGCCCGGGAGTGACTTGGAACCCTGCTACCGATCGCTTCGACCCGCATACCATGGTAAGCCTCCTAGGCGGCGCTGCCTGTCTGTCTCCTTGTGTTGACAGTGACTCTCAGCTTGAAGAGGGCTTTTAAGTATTTGTACCTACCACTCTCCTCCCATTCCCTTCTCGTGCAGGTTCGTGATGCTGATAATATCACGAAGCATGGCAAATGGGATGATTATAAACGGTGGGTCTGCCACACCGCACCGTGGCTTAGCCTTGGGGAGCAGGTTGTACCCAAATCCAGGTTGAGTGGCAGCAGCTACGCATTCGCGACAGGGGATGGCGACAGGTACTACTCTGACGGCCCAGGTGGAGACGAACTCTCGAGTGGGGATGAAGTGGCGGATGCAGCGTATACTAGAGGCCGGCAGCGCCGTCGACTGGGACTTGAGCAGAGCAGTCCTCACACGTCTGCGCCTTCAATGGCCACCAGATCCCATCCTCCTGCATCCGCATCCCCACCCCCCGCTCCTGCAGCATCCCCCATTCCCCCACACGGTGCATCCCCACCCCCCGCTCCTGCAGCATCCCCCATTCCCCCACACGGTGCATCCCCACCCCCCGCTCCTGCAGCATCCCCCATTCCCCCACACGGTGCATCCCCACCCCCCGCTCCTGCAGCATCCCCCATTCCCCCACACGGTGCATCCCCACCCCCCGCTCCTGCTGCAAGCCCCACTACCGCACCCACTGCACTCCCGTCCGTTGCAAGTAGAGGCCCATCGAGAATCACCGCCACTGGCACAAGGTCAATGATAAAGTGGAACGATGACCTCACAGCCGACCTCCTCCGCTGTGTCATAGCGGCCATGCGGGATGCAGGCAGGGCGCCCTTTGCCAAAGTGCAGTGCTGGGATGCTATCTTCGCCCGGTGGCATGCCCAGCATGCCGATTTGAACTTCACGATGGAGCAGCTGCGGAACCGGCTCAACGCAGTGAAGGCGTGGGTGAAAGACATCAGGGAACTCAAGTCGTGGGTTGGAGAAGGTGTGAGCTGGGACCCTGCACGCGACTTCTTCGACCCAAGTACCATGGTAAGTTGAGGTCAATCTTTATGATTCTCACAAAGTAAGCCTCCTAGGCAGGCACTGCCCGTCTCCTTGTGCTGACATAGAAATGCAATTTGAAGAGGGCGGTTGTTTTTTTGTTTACACACCCTCTCCTCCCCATTCCCGTATCATGCAGGTTCGTGATCTCGATATCCCTCCGCGTAAATGGGATGATTATAAACGGTGGGTCACCCACACCGCCCCGTGGCTTAGCCTTGGCGAACAGGTGTCTCGTCATGGCAGCCACACATGCACCACCACAGCAGATGGCGACAGGTATTACTCAGACGGCCCGGGTGAATACGACCTCTCGAGTGGGGATGATGAGGCGGATGCAGCGTATAGTAGAGGTCGGCAGCGCCGCCGCCCGGGACTTGAAAACAGCAGTCCGCACCAGTGTGCTGCTGCAGCAGCAAGCCCCAATCCCGCACCCGCAGCATCCCCTGATCGTGCACAGCCCGCCCTCCCCCCTTATGCCTTCCCCTCGCCCACCCTCCATCCGCCCCCCCTTGATCTCCCCGTGCCCCCCCTGCGCGCGAACACCTACGAGCTTGGTTTGCTGGGTAATGGCTCGACAGGCAGGGGCAATGCCACGCTCGTAGACACAGGCACGGGCATGGGCGCGGGCACGGGCACATGCACAGACACGGGGTTGCGCGAACGGCGGGAGCGGTGGGAACAGGCATTGAAAAGCGGCAAGTGGCGGCCGATGTGGGACAACGAGCAGACAACAGCTCTTTTGGAGATCATTCGCGACGTGCTGCACGCTCAGGGCAGCGCCCTCCCCGGCAGGATCGAGGACTGGGGGGCGGTGCACCGCGAGTGGTTGCGACGAGGGTTCCCGCGGTACTCGAAGGAGCAGCTGAGAATCCGGTGCAGTTCGGTGCGCGGGTGGGTGAAGGATATTCAGTTTCTGCAGGAGCTGCTGCCGCCTGAAGTCACCTGGGACCCCACCACTCAGCCCTTCAACCCCGACCCTGAGGTGAGTTGGTGAGAGGGCGATGTGAAGTGGTGAGAGAGCCCGAGGTGAGAGGAAGTGGTGAGAGGGAGAGGTGAGAGAGCTCAAGGTGCGCTGTGGTTTGTCCCCCACCCAAAGGTGGTCTGTACTTTAGCGTCTACCACCCTCCTCCGCCTCCTCCGCCTCCCCTCTCTCTCACGGAAGCCCCGCACGGCAACGACCACACTCCTCGTCCCTCCCTTCACTCCGTTGCTCCTATCCCGCTTACCCCCCTTTCCCCGCTCCCTTCACCCCCCCCCACCGCCCTTCTTCAGCTGGGCATCAGCCTGTGGCTGAAGCAACATGGGCAGTGGAAGCACTACAGGCGGTGGAGCAAGCACACGGCGCCCTGGCTGCCCCTTTCTCTGCTCAACGCCCACACGTGCCCTGCTGAGGTTGAGTGGGAGGAGGACGAGGAGGAGTGGGAGGAGGACGAGGAGGAGGCGGATTGGGGAGAAGGGGAGGGAGAGGAGGAGGATGGGGAAGAGGAGGAAGATGAAGTGATGGAGGTGCAGGCAGGTGGGGAGGGCAATGGGGATGCGGAGGAGGAGGTTGAGGAGGGGGAGCGGGGAGAGGGATGGGGCGATGGGAGCCGACTGCGGCGAGTGGCAGGGAGGTATAGGCGTGGAGGAAGGAAAGTGCGGCGGCGGAGAGATAGAGAGGGGTTGGAGGCACGGGGGGGTAGTGGAGAGCGGTGGAGGGGTGGAGAGTTGGATGGTGATGAGTGGTTGGGGACGTGGAGGATGGATGCGTTGCAACAGGCTGCACAGGGAGGGGGCGCGAGGAGAAGAGAGGGACGAGAGGGTGTGGAAGGGAGAGGGGTTGGGAGTGGTGGGGTCGGGGCTGCACAGGGAAATGGTGGGGTCGATGGTGTTCCGCGTGCTGAGGTGGCACGTAACAATGTCACCTTTGCTGACGTGGCTCATGCTGCTGACGTGGCTCGTGCTGACGTGGCCTGTGCTGACGTGGCTCGTGTGGGTGAGACTGGTGGTGCAAGTGCGGATGAGAGGGACGAGTACCCTGCGAGGCTGGCAGCGCGGATCGCTGGCATGGCAGTGAGAAGGAGGGAGCAAGGCGGCACAGAGAGGCTCGCGGTTGAGGGCGAGGGGGGAGGGGCCGGGGATGGGGGAGGAGGAAATGCCAATGCACGACGGGGGGATGGGGATCTTGAAGGAGAGAATGGGGTGGGGGAGAGGCAGGAAAGAGAGAGAAGGGAGGAGGGGAGAGCGGGGAGGGGTGTGAAGCGGTCGAGGCCGGTGTGGGTGCAGGCAATGGAGAGGAAGCGGCAGCGGCGGGTGATGGAGAGTGTGGCGCGTGCCGTCAAGAGCATGGCGGAGAAGGGCCAGCCGCACGTGCATAGAGGTAGGTGATGAGCAGGCACAGATGCTTAGGGGTAGGATGTGATGTCATGTGATGTGACGTGTTGTGATGTGATGTGACGTGTTGTGATGTGATGTGACGTGTTGTGATGGGATAGGATGGGCGGGATGGGATGTGATGGGATGGGATGGGATGGGATGGGATGGGATGGGATGGGATGGGATGGGATGGGATGGGATGGGATGGGATGGGATGCGATGCGATGCGATGCGATGCGATGCGATGCGATGCGATGCGATGCGATGCGATGTGATGTGGTGTGGTGTGATGTGATGTGATGTGATGTGATGTGATGTGATGTGATGTGATGTGATGTCATGTGATGTGATGTGGTGTGATGTGATGTGATGTGAAGGCACAACTTCCTTCCAGTATCAAATTTGTCCACGATCAGAGTAACAAATGCTGGAGCCAAGCAGATATGGCGGGAGATCTGATGTTAAAATGAGCAACATGAAATTAGCAACAGTAGCTATCGTAACTATATAAGTCATGATAATTGTAAGAATCAATCAATCCCTTTTTACTCCCTTCCCACCGCTCCCTTCCAATCCTCTCACCGTCAAATGCGGTGGCGGATAGTGTGTTCAAGTCGGTGCAGGACGTGCAAGCATCGCCCTCATTCTTACTCAGAGAGATTTAGATTCTACCCAGAACACCAGACTCTGTTCGTTCTGGTCTCTGTTGATCTATGCTTAGGCTACGTAGGGATTAAGTGAGCAAAATATCATTTCAAGACTGAGCGTGCGCGCATTTTGGCACAATGGCCTTCGTCAGCGCTCTCACAAAGTTTTTTATTGTAGTTTTGAGAGCGCTGGCGAAGGCCATTGTGCAAAATCGCACGTACGCTCAGTCTCGGCATGATATTTCTTTGCTTACACAATCCCCACCTAGCCTAAGCATAGACTAGTGGAGACCTGAACTAACTGAGTCTGGTGATCTGGGTCGAATCTATTTCTCTCTTTCCACCCACCTTCTTCGCAAACTTACTCCCCTTTCCCTCCCCCCCTTTTTCTTCACCACCAGACGTGGTGGCAGACGGTGTGTCCAAATCGGTGCAAAGTTTCTCCTCTCAAGCTCCTTCTGAGCCATCTGAGAACACAGCTTTGGCCTCCCCTTCTCCCCCCCCCCCACCCCCCACCAGACGCGGTGGCGGACAGTGTGGTGAAGGCAGTGCAGGACGTGCAGGCCCTCCCCTCTCTGACGGACGCGCAACGCGTGGCGGCCATCGATGCCTTCCTGCAGCGCCCCCTCGACGCCCACGCCTTCCAGGCCATGAGCCCCGCCTTGCAGACCCTCTTTGCCCGCCGCGCCCACGCCCACGCCGTTGACCGGCAGCTGGCCGGGATTCAAGCTGCCGCTGCTGCGGGGGGGAATGCGCTCCTCCCAGACCAGCAGCTTGGGGGGCTGCCAGGTGTGGCTGGGGGTGCTGGTGTGGTGGGGGGGACTGCGGGGGTGGGAACGGCGGGGGTGGGAACGGCGGGGGTGGGAACGGAGGGGGTGGGAACGGCGGGGTTGGGACCGGCGGGGTTGGGAACGGCCGGGGTGGGAACGGCGGGGGTGGGAACGGCGGGGGTGGGGGCGGCGGGGGTGGGGACGGCGGGGGTGGGGACGGCGGGGGTGGGAACGGCGGGGGTGGGAACGGCGGGGGTGGGAACGGTGCGGTTGGGAACAGCGGTGGTGGGCATGGGGAGTACAGGAATGGGGGCAATGGGAAGAGGGGGAACGAGCATGGTGGGAACGGTAACAGGGGGAACACGGATGGGGGAAACGGGATTCGGTTCGAGGGGATTGGGGACGATGGGGCAAACGGGGGCAGTGGGAGGGATGGCAGGAGGTGGGGGTGTGGCAGGAGGTGGGAGTGTGGGTGTGGGAACGGCAGCAGCAGGTACAGTAGCAGCAGACACAGGAGAAGGGAGGGGTGTACAAGGTGTGGGAGGGGTTGCAGGGGGAGTAGGGGAAACCGGGGCGGCAGCAGGGGCAAGAGGAGCAGGAGGGATGGGCGGCACACAAGGGGCGGGCGGCATGGCAGGGCTGCAGGTGCTGGGGCCTCGCGTGCAGGAGTTGATGCACGAGTTGGTTAGAGAGATCCTGGGAGCAGTCAATGCGAGTCAACAGATGGTCAGCACGGGTCAACAGGCAGTCAGCGCTGGTCAAGGGGCGGTCAGTGCTGGTCAAGGGGCGGTCAATGCTGGTCAAGGGGCGGTCAATGCTGGTCAAGGGGCGGTCAATGCTGGTCAAGGGGCGGTCAATGCAGGTCACACAAGGTTAACTGGCAATCCAGCGGTGGTCAATGGGATTCGATGCGAGTGCCATGAGTGTGTGGCTGCTAGATTGGCAATGAGAACACGTGAAGGCACAGTCAACGCGAGTCAAGATGGAGTCAATGCGGGTCAAGATGGAGTCAACGCGAGTCAACCAGTGGTCAATGCGGATCCAAGGAGGGGAGTGGTAGCGAATGAAGTGGAGGCAGCTGTCGGCCAATCAGGGTTAGGTGCAGGTCGTGTGGGGACGGCTGCTGTGCTAGAGACAAGAAATGCTGGTCAAGCACCAGTCAACGCGGGTCAAGCACGAATAAACGCCGGTCAAGCACGAGTCAACGCTGGTCTAGCACGATTAAACACTGGTCACACAACAGTCAACGCCGGCCAAGCACGAGTCAACGCTGGTCACGCTCCAGTCAACCCTGGTCACGCTCCAGTCAACCCTGGACAAACACCAGTCAACACTGGTCGCGCAGCAGCCAACGCCAGTCAAGCACGAGTCAACGATGGTCAAGCACTAGTCAACGCGGGTCAAACACGAATAAACGCCGGTCAAGCACGAGTCAACGCTGGTCTAGCACGATTAAACACTGGTCACACAACAGTCAATGCCGGTCAAGCACGAGTCAACGCTGGTCACGCTTCAGTCAACCCTGGTCAAGCACCAGTCAACGCTGGTCACGCAGCAGCCAACGCCAGTCAAGCACGAGTCAACGCTGGTCAAGCACCATTCAACGCTGGTCACGCACTGGTCAACGCTGGTCAAGCACCATTCAACGCTGGTCAAGCACCATTCAACGCTGGTCACGCACTGGTCAACGCTGGTCAAGCACCATTCAACGCTGGTCAAGCACCATTCAACGCTGGTCACGCACTGGTCAACGCTGGTCAAGCACCATTCACTGCTGGTCAAGCACCAGTCAACGCTGGTCAAGCACTGGTCAACGCTGGTCAACCACCATTCAACGCGTTTCAAGCACTGGTCAACGCTGGTCAAGCACCATTCAGTGTTGTTCAAGCATTGGTCAACGCTGGTCAATTACCATTCACTGCTGGTCAAGCACCAGCCAACGCTGTTCAAGCGCTGGTCAACGCCGGTCAAGCACCATTCACTGTTGGTCAAGCACTAGTCAACGCTGGTCAAGCATCATTCAACGCTGGTCAAGCACTGGTCAACGCTGGTCAAGCACCATTCAACGCTGGTCTATGGGCTGCTAATGCAGGTGGAGGGGTGGGCCAAGGCAGAGCAGAGGGAGGAGGGGTGTGGAGGGACGCAGCGATCCTGGGGCTGCTATTGAAGCTGCTGCAAGGCCAGGCGAAGGAAACGGATGGGGCTGTGGCGAGGGGACAGGGGGAAAACGTCGGGCAAAGAGGGGAGCAGGGAGAGCAGCAGGGAAGGCAGCATGGAGGGGAGCAGGGAGGGGAGCAGGGAGGGGGGCAGGAAGGGGGGCAGGGAGGGGGGCAGGAAGGGGGGCAGGGAGGGGGGCAGGGAGGGGGGCAGGGAGGGGAGCAGGGAGGGGAACAGGGAGGGGGGCAAAGAGGGAATCGGGGAGGGAATCAGGGAGGGAATCAGGGAGCGGATGAGAGAGTCAGCTTGCCCGGGGAAAGTGGCAGTGGAGGGGGGCACTTCACGCTGTCGCACCGCTGTGTGGCGGACGGGCCGGCAGGGCAGTGCAGCCTGTGCAGCATCGTTGCCAATTTCGCCAAAATGGTGGGCGCCCAGGGTGGCCTGGGGGGCGCCCAGGGTGGCCTGGGGGGCGCGCAGGGTGGCCTGGGGGGCGCCCAGGGTGGCCTGGGGGGCGCGCAGGGTGGCCTGGGGGGCACGCAGGGTGGCCTGGGGGGCGCGCAGGGTGGCCTGATGGGGGTTGCTGCTGGGGGAGGAGTGCCCGCAGCAAGCGATCTGAGGGGGAGTGGTGGTGGGGAAGCGGTGGCTGTGCCGAGTGGAGGAGGAGGGGGTGGTGTGGGAGAGGTGCGCATGTCGGGAGGAGGAGGGGGGAGTGGTGGTGGAGGGGAGGAGGGGGTGGGCGTTGAAGTTGAAGGGGTTGGGGCGGGAGAGACGGGAGAGGTGAGAGACGCGGGAGAGGTGGGAGAGGTGAGAGACGCGGGAGAGACGGGAGAGGTGGGAGAGGTGAGGCCAGGGGGTGGTGGAGAGGGACGGGGGGCTGGAGAAGGAGGGGAGGGTGTAGAAGGAGAGGGGAATGGGGGAGGGGGGGGTGGAGAGGGAGGGGGAGGTGGAGAGGAACGGAGGGTTGGAGAAGGAGGGGAGGGTGTAGAAGGAGGGGGGAATGGGGGAGGGGGGGGTGGAGAGGGAGGGGGTGGTGGAGAGGGAGGGGGTGGTGGAGAGGAACGGAGGGTTGGAGAAGGAGGGGAGGGTGGAGGGTTGGGCGGCAGGGCAGGGCTGCAGCTGCTGGGGCATCGCGTACAGGAGTTTGTTGGAAGAGAGAGCCTGGGAGCAGTCAACGCGAGTCAACAGATGGCCAGCACGGGTCAACAGGCAGTCAATGCTGGTCAAGGTTTAGTGAACATGCGCCAATCAGCAGTGAATCAAGGTCCACTGGAAAGTGTGGGTGCAGGCGAAGGGGCAGTCAACGCTGGTCAAGCAGCAGTGAACGCAGGTCAAGGGGCAGTGAACACAGGTCAAGGGGCAGTGAACGCAGGTCAAGGGGCAGTGAACGCAGGTCAAGGGGCAGTGAACGCAGGACAAGCAGCAGTGAACGCAGGTCAAGGGGCAGTGAACGCAGGTCAAGGGGCAGTGAACGCAGGTCAAGCAGCAGTGAACGCAGGTCAAGGGGCAGTGAACGCAGGTCAAGCAGCAGTGAACGCAGGTCAAGGGGCAGTGAACGCAGGTCAAGGGGCAGTGAACGCAGGTCAAGGGGCAGTGAACGCAGGTCAAGGGGCAGTGAACGCAGGTCAAGGGGCAGTGAACACAGGTCAAGGGGCAGTGAACACAGGTCAAGGGGCAGTGAACGCAGGTCAAGGGGCAGTGAACACAGGTCAAGGGGCAGTGAACGCAGGTCAAGGGGCAGTGAACGCAGGTCAAGGGGCAGTGAACACAGGTCAAGGGGCAGTGAACGCAGGTCACACGGGGATGACTGGCAATCCAGTGGTGGTCCATGGGATTCAATGCAAGTGCCGTGAGTGTCTTGTTGCTACATTGGCGGCCAGAATACGTGAAGGTGCGGTCAACCTGAGTCAAGCGGTCAATCTGAGTCAAGCAGCAGGCAATCCAATTCAAGCAGTAGTCAATCCAATTCAAGCAGCAGTCTATGTAGCGAGTCAACTAGTGGCCAATGCGGATCCAAGGAGGAAAGTCGCAGCGAATCAGGTGGAAATGGCTGTCGGTCAACAAGGGTTAGATGCAGGTCGTGCAGTCAATGCTGGTCAAGCAGCAGTCAACGCTGGTCAAGCACCATTCAATGCTGGTCAAGCACTGGTCAACACGGGCCACGCACTGGCCAACGTGGGTCAAGCACCAGTCAACGCTGGTCAAGCACCAGTCAACGCTGGTCAAGCACCAGTCAACTATGGTCTATGGGCTGCTAATGCAGGTGGAGGGGTGGGCCAAGGCAGAGCAGAGGGAGGAGGAGTGGTAGGAAGAGGAGGGGCTTGGAGGGACGCAACGATCATGGGACTGCTGCAGCTGCTGCTGCAAGGCCGGGCAAAGGAAAGGGGCGGGGCTGTGGCGAGGGGACAGGAGGAGACCGGCGGACAAAGAGCGGAGCAGGGAGGGGGGCAGGGAGGGGGGCAGGGAGGGGAGCAGGGAGGGGAGCAGGGAGGGGAGCAGGGAGGGGAGCAGGGATTGGGGCAGGGAGGGGAGCAGGGATTGGGGCAGGGAGGGGAGCAGGGAAGGGTGCAGGGGGGGGAGCAGGGAGGGGGGCAGGGGGTTGAGCAGGGAGGGGGGCAGGGAGTGGGGCAGGGAAGGGGACAGAGAGGGGGGCAGGAAGGGAGACAGGGAGGGAAGCAGGGAGGGGAGCAGGGAGGGGAGCAGGGAGGGGAGGAGGGAGGGGAGCAGGGAGGGGAGCAGGGAGGGAAGCAGGGAGGGGATGAGAGAGTGGGAACAGTCAGCATGCCGGGGGGAAGCGGCAGTGAAGGGGGGTTCTTCACGGTGTCGCACCGCTGTGTGGCGGATGGGCCGGCAGGGCAGTGCAGCCTGTGCAGCATCATGGCCAATTTTGTGAGAGTGGTGGGCGCATATGGCGGCCTGGGGGGGGTTGCTGCTGGGGGAGGAGTGCCCGCAGAAAGTGACCTGAGGGGGAGTGGTGGGGAAGCGGTGGCTGTGCCGAGTGGAGGGGGGGGTGGTGCTGGGGGAGAGGTGCGCTTGTCGGGGGAAGGAGGGGGGAGTGGTGGTGGAGGGGCGGAGGGGGTGGGTGTTGCGGGTCAGGGATGTGAGACGGGAGAGGTGAGGATGGAGGAGCAGGGGGGTGCAGGTGACGATTCACCAACTGCCGGCCCAGAAGAAGTCAATGCAGGTCAAGGTGCGGCCAATGCAGGTCAAGGGGCGGTCAATGCAGGTCAAGGGGCGGTCAATGCAGGTCAAGGGGCGGCCAATGCAGGTCAAGGGGCGGTCAATGCAGGTCAAGGGGCGGTCAATGCAGGTCAAGGGGCGGTCAATGCAGGTCAAGGGGCGGCCAATGCAGGTCAAGGGGCGGCCAATGCAGGTCAAGGGGCGGATTTGAGTGGAGGGAAGGAGTTGAGTTCACGGGAGGATGTCACTCGAGAAACGAGTGAGGGCAAGGAGTTGAGTGAGGGGAGGGGAACCGTGTGTGTGAGTGACGGGGATATCGTGCTTGAGGAGGGAGATGTGATTATGGGGGAGGCAGGTACTACTGAGGGGGAAGCGGATGTGACTATGGGGGAAGCGGACATGAGTGTGATGGGAGGGGACCTCGTTATGGGGGAAGGGACAACAACTGTGGGGGGAGGGGGCATCAATGAAACGGAAGGAGAATCGAGAGGGAAGGAGGGAGAGAGGAGTGGGAAGGAGGGAGAGACGAGTGGGAAGGAGGGAGAGACGAGTGGGAAGGAGGGAGAGACGACTGGGAAGGAGGGAGAGACTAGTGGGAAGGAGGGAGAGAGGAGTGGGACAGAGGGAGAAACGAGTGGGAAGGAGGGAGAAACGAGTGGGAAGGAGGGAGAAACGAGTGGGAAGGAGGGAGAGACGAGTGGGAAGGAGGGAGGGACGAGTGGGAAGGAGGGAGAGACGAGTGGGAAGGAGGGAGAGAGGAGTGGGACAGAGGGAGAGAGGAGTGGGAAGGAGGGAGAGGCGAGTGGGATGGAGGGAGAAACGAGTGGGAGGGAGGGAGAAACGAGTGGGGAAGGCGAAACGAGTGGGAGGGAGGGAAAGTCGAGTGGGAAGGAGGGAGAGACGAGTGGGAAGGAGGGAGAAACGAGTGGGAAGGAGGGAGAGAGGAGTGGGAAGGAGGGAGAGACGAGCGGGAGGGAGGGAGTGACGAGTGGGAAAGAGGGAGAGACGAGTGGGAAGGAGGAAGATACGAGTGGAAAGGAGGGAGAAATGAGTGGGAAGGAGGGAGAAACGAGTGGGAAAGAGGAGGATGCTACTATGGGAAAAGGCGATATGAGTGCAACGGAAGGAGAGGGAGAAGGAGGCATGAGCATAGGGGAAGGCGAGGTGCAATTGGTTTCAGAGAAAGGCTTTGAAGGTCACTTGATTGTGAATGATGGTCAGGGGGGAAGTGATTCTTGTGAAATGGCAGTCAGCGAGGGTCAAGGCGCAGACAGCGAGAGTCAAGGAGCAGTCAACGAGCGTCAAGGAGCAGTCAACGAGAGTCAAGGTGCAGTCAACGAGGGACAAGGTGTGGAGGGTGCGAGTCAAAGGGTTACAAGTGATGATCAAGTGCCAGTCAGCATGGGTCAACGTGCAGTCAGCATGGGTCAACGTGCAGTCAGCATGGGTCAACGTGCAGGCAGTAATGATCAAGAAGTGAGCAGCGGGGGTGAGAGTGGGTCAACGTGCAGTCAGCAATGATCAAGAAGTGAGCAGCGGGGGTGAGAGTAGTGGGCGGATGCTCAATGAGCGTTCAGCAGAAGACCATGCGAGTCAGACACAGGTCGGTGGAGGTGAAGTGAAGGGGGCAGGAAGTGAAAGGGAAGCAAGGGCAGGTCAAACCAACCAATGTGGTGTGGATGGGTCGGATGAGGTGGAGTGGGAAGACGAGGCAGACACGGACTGAATTTGTAGTGAGGGGTTGGGGGCCATCCACCCAGCCAGAGCAGAGATGCATGATCAGGCGCGACCTAATACACTGTCAATGAAAGGACTTCAAACTTATATGATGTACAGTGAGCATTTCAAAATATGTTGGCCGCATTATATTCTGTGGCAAGCCCATGTGAATCTCCACTCTGCTTGAACTAATATAAATTCTTGTTGTTTCCACACTACATTTTGGCACCGAAACAAAGTATATTGCACGAATGGTTGCTGCGGACTGCTGATGTCAGCGCCTGCTAAATGGTGGCGACGCCTTCAGCCATGGCGAGGCCGAGCGAGTCCTGAGAGACCTTCATGTACTCCACTCGCAGGTACGGCAGCGACGGCAGCGAGAGCGGGATGGAGGGGTTGTCTGGGGGAGGGATTACCCCCGATGTCAGCGCCTGTTGGGGGTGATGGGGTATGGGAGGAAAGGAGGGGAAAGAGGAAAGGGGGGAGAAATTACTCCCGATGTCAGCGTCTGATGCGGTGGATAATCCCAGATGTCAGCGCCGGCTGGGCTTGGGGAGAGAATCCATGGAGGGACATCTTGCAAGGTCAGTTGCTGATGGACGTCCGTGATGGGGTAGGGAGGGGAGGTTGGCTGCTGATGCTTGCGCCGGATGGATTGGGTGTGATGGGGTGGGGGCGGTGTGGGGGGGGGGGGGGGGGGGGGGTGGTGGGAAGGGGGGGGGGGGGGAGAGGGAAAGAAGTCAGTGGGAGGGTAGACTCGCAAGGTCAATTCCTCGTGGACGTTTGTGATCGAGGAGGGCGGGACGTAATAACAGAGAGTTTTTGAGACGCCTCAAAAACTCCCTTTTATCACATGGACGTTCGTGATGGGAAAAGGGGGAGGGGGGGAGTGGTGGGTGACTAGTTTTGTTAGCGCCTGAAGGAGGGGGGAGGGGGGGGGGGAGGGGAGGGTGTGACAGGGTGATATGTTGGGAAGTTGGGGAAGGGGAGAGGGGGATGGGTGCTGCGTGCCGATGTTAGTGCCTACAATCTTTGCGTGATAGCTACTGTGTGAGCACATGACCGTTCACCCCTACAAGCACCTCCACACTCACCTCTACAAGCACCACCTAACTCAGCCCACGAAGGCCTGGAAATGATGTCATTTCGTCTCTTGAATAACAATTGCTCGTCATTCTTAATGACATTCCGTCACCTGTGAGCTCATTTTTAGCGATTCGTGCTGACAGATTAGAAGCGAGAGACCAGGAATTATATTGAGATTTCCTTTTTATTGTTCACCACATCAGCCAACCCTTTCTCTGTTTGCACGTTGGTTGTTTTCTCATATTAAATTCAGGCTACTCCAACTGGTTTCAAGTCCCTTATTTATCGTATGTGAATCGTGAACGATTTCGTTATATAGGAGTTATCCATTTACAAGCCGAACGCTCTCAGCCTCTGTGTTATCAGCTTTCTTTTAGACACGATGGCACCAGAACGTCACAACTCTAGAGAATTGGACTTCGCAAAAGGTACGCTTTGAAGGCAAGGATATGTGAGTGCATGGATGCAAATGGGGTCCATGCACTCACATATCCTTGCCTTCAAAGGGTACCTTAACCAAAGTCTGGATCTCTAGAGCTGTGACGTTCTAGTGCCATCGTGTCTTAAAGAAATTTGATAACACGGAGGTTGAGAGCGTTCGGCTCGTAAATGGATAACTCCTAAACAACGAAATTGTTCACGATTTACAGACGACGAATAAGGGACCAGGAACCAGGAACCAGTTGCAATAGCCTGGATATAATTTGAGAACACAGACCTCGTGCAAAGAGGGAAAAAGTTGGCTGATATGGTGAATAATAAAAACGAAATCCGAACATAATACTGGTCTCTCGCTCCTAAAAAACAGATAAAGTGCCTCGATAATCTGTCAGCACGAATCGCTAAGAAGGAGCTCACCGGTGAAAGAATGTCAATAAAAATGATGAGCAACTGTTATTCAGGAGATGCAAGGACACCATTTTCCAAGATTGAAAGGTGGGTTGGAGTCGGAGCAGTTGCCTTCACCTCACACTCTTCGTCGCCTTTAAGCCCTCGTCTTGGCCACACTAGTACATAAAAGGCCTGAAATTGCACCACTATGAGCGCCTGACCGCTTATTTGGGTGGTACGGATGGCGTCGATGCAGTTGCCCCCCACCTGCCCACCGTTCACCTTTCAATAAACACTCAATCCTGTAAAAACCTCTGAAAAAAAACTCCTCCTCTGCTCCTCACTCAGCACCTTCGCCGTGCTCACCCCTATTCCTCCTCACTCTAGCACCTTCGCCACACTCACCCCTATTCCTCCTCACTCTAGCACCTTCGCCACACTCACCCCTATTCCTCCTCACTCTAGCACCTTCGCCACGCTCACCCCTATTCCTCCTCACTCTAGCACCTTCGCCGCACTCACCCCTATTCCTCCTCACTCTAGCACCTTCGCCACACTCACCCCTATGAGCGCCGCACTCACCCCTATGAGCGCCGCACTCACCCCTATGAGCGCCTGCCCGCTTATTAGGGGGGCAGGAATGGCGTCGCTGCAGTTGCCCTCCCACGGACTTGGTTTGCCTGACGGCCCCACACTGAGCACCACCCACTCCTTGCCGTCCCTGTGCGTCAATCTGTGGTGGAGAGCAGCAGCGAGGGGCGGAGAGGGGCAGAGTGGGATGGAATGGGGCAGAATGGGGATTTATTTGCACGAGAGAGTACTCTCAAGGATACCCACTTGTTCCCGTCCCTGTGGGTGTGTCCATGTGTAGGATCAACAGGGGTAGAGAGGGTTGCTGAGGAGTTGGATGGATAGAGGATCAAGGTTTCGCATTGTGACGACAGCTGGACGCAGCCAGTTCAGTTTCTCTCCGTGTTACTTAGTGGGGTGAGCGGGGGTGGAGACGGATGCTGTCCTGTTCAGTGGGTGGGGTTGGAAATGATGTGGTGCTTGTAACAAGATGTCACAAATGTGGATTTAACGGATGAGAAGAGAATAAAGTACAATGTGAAGTAAGACACGTCAATAATATGTGCTCACAGAATTGTTTGGTTGCATGCAGGTTTGTTTTACCTTAGAACGCTCTCCGACTCTGCTTGTAGTGCTGCGTCCTTGAAATGGTTGTGCTTACTGCACTCATTAACATTTCGCCTCTCACACACACAGATAGATTGCGTGAAAACACACATAGTCACGGACACAGACAAGCATGCACCCTCCCGCATGCACCCACCACCCCTTTCCCTCACCAGCAATGCACACACACACAAACACACACCCACACACACACATACACACACACACACACACACACGCACACACGCGCGCACGCACGCCGCGCGCACACACACAAACTCTCACACACACACACACATAAACGCACGGAGAACATCAAGCGCTGATGATAGAAAATAATAATGCAGACTCTACAAGTGTCTAGAATTGTCAATCCACTCAAGCCGCTAGTGAGGGCCTCACCAGTGAGTGAGAGCTAGTGCGAGCCTCAGTGCCTCACCATTGCTGCACGAGCCTGGCAATCTCCACAAAGCAATCTGTGAACTTGACTTTGAGCAGGATCATGCCGCCCACTGTCTTGATGTTCTGAATGGTGGGAAGCATAGGTTGGAGGGTAGGGGAGGGTGAGATGATGAGAGGGAAAGGAAGGAGGATGTGAGAGGGAGGAAAGTGAACTTGACAGTGAGCAAAAACACGCTGGGATGGCTTTGATGTGCAAATCAGCAGCAGGCGGCGAAACGACTAAGGGCAACAGGTGAGCAGCACACATGAGCAAACAAAGGGCCGTTGGTGGAGCAGCTTGGAGCTGCTTTCACTCTGTAGGGACTAGAGACGCGAGCCAAGACAGATTAGGGGAATGAAACAGAGCATGTACGACGAGGAAATGGGCGATTGTGGAACAGCTGGGTGTTGTAAATCGCCTATAAGGACACATGGCTAGAAGCGAATGAGAAGCAGGACGTACAAAGGCGAAGGGAGAGATTGTGGAGGTGGCATGGGGTTGGGCGAGGGAGGAGTGGATGAAAGAGCGAGGAGAGGAAGGACGTACGAAAATGAAGGGGGCGTTGGTGGCGGGCCGGTGCCTCGCAGTACCCTGAGAGGGGATGGAGGAAGGACAATGAGGGGAATGATGGGGGGCAGGGGTTGAGGGGATGGCGCAGTGGGAGGGCGGGGTGGAAAGCAGATGGCACAGAAAGGGGGCGTGGGATGGGGAGGACAATGGTGAGATGGCGTGAGAATGAAGGGGAGGGTAGTGGGAGGACCGTGGGGAAGAGACAACAAAGTGAGGGGTGGGTGGGGGGGAAAGGCGACAGCGGAGTGAGAGTTTGTGCGGAGTTAGGGGGGGCGGGAAGGGAAGCGAGAGAGCCGCAGAGTGGCAGTGCCGGCTGGGTCCAGAACATGGTTTGACCATTCTCAGAGCGGATTACGCCAACTGAACTGCCCACAACATACTATCCTTGGGGCGAACGGGGAGAGGAGCTTTGGGGGTTCTGAGGCTGAATCTGACCGCATGCGTAACAGGAATCGACTGGAGTAGCTTGTTGGTGACTTACCGCTTTCTCTGCGATGTATCTGCATTCCCACGCCACAATGGAGGAGACAAGCAAAGGCAGTGTTGGGAGGAAGGAAGCAGCACAAGGAGTATGAGTAACAGTACCAGGAATCTAGCTTAGCTGAAGGCTCGGATGAGCATGAGGTTTGACGCGAGGCTCGGATGAGCATGAGGTTTGACGCGAAGCTCGGATGAGCATGAGGTTTGACGGAAGGCTCGGATGAGCAAGAGGTTTGACGCAAGGGTCATGTGCTGAGAGTTCTGTGGTTCCAGTAGAGTTACTTGTGTGACGAATGTGCGGGTGGACCTAGCTGGGTGCAGAAGCGCTTGTTCACTCAGGCGACATGAGCTTTGGTTCAATCAGACCAGCCGGCGCGAGTAGCTCCACTATAACTCGACCCGCACTGCCCGCATACTGTCCGCATACTGCCCACACTGCCCGCATACTGCACACACTGTCCCTGTCCGCACTGCTCGCATTGCTCGCACTGCACGCTCCGCCCGCACGTTCTGTCCACACTCCTCGCACTGCCTGCACACTGACGCCACCTTTCTATGCTCGTAGAAGCGAGCTAGAGTGGTCGAGCTAGAAGCGCGACTCACTTTGAAGCGGTCGAGCTCACCGCGATCGGACGAGGAAGAGGACGAAGGCGATGAGCGACACGATGCACATCGTCCACGCGAGGCACGGAATCGACAATCGCGACGATCGCGACGGCGGTTTCCGGCCCTTGGATCGCTGCAGCAGCTCGGAAGGCTTCATCCGAGCCATTGAAAAACCGTGGAACTAATCTCTAAGCGCTCGAGGTAGTGACGACAGACGCAGCGCTCGAGGCTATCTGGATTCGGACTTGGAGAGGAAGCTCCGAAAAACTATGGAGAACAGGCAAGAAGAGATATCAAAACAGAATTAGTGTTCATCTACAGAGCGTTTATATCGACAATTTGTAAAAAATGATTGATAATGGTTTTCGAGGTATTCACTACATAACACATAATGGGATGCTCCATGGGCGGATGCGCCCTACTTGATGGACATGCGGGTGTAGAGGTTGGGGGTGGTGTTAGATAACTTTAAGTAAGCTCGTCGTCGTAGTGTTTCCCCTACGTTTTGTGCTCCGGCATCTTATTGTGTCATCATCTTGCCGTCCTATCACCCTCCCCTTGCCATCCCTAATTTCTTGCCCTCTCGTTCTGTTGTCTTGCTACACTTTGAATAAAGGCATATAGGGATGAAATGCAGTACAATACATACAGAATATATAATATCCAAGTTGAGTACTTATGTACCTGCAAGGTAATACACTAAACACATCCTGCGAATCACAACGCGTTCCATCGGTCAGATAATCGAGTTACCACACCGGAAACGCGATCCAGGAGTCAAGCAATGCGTCTTACCGTACCGAAACGCATGGTACAGGTGAGAACCATGGTCTTCGTTTTCGAATGCGAATTGCACCGAACACTTTTTTTGCATTCACGAGTAGCCGTAGCGCCTGCGAAGTCATTTTGCGCGACACCGTCAATCACAAATCCCAACTCACAGCTCCGCACCTCCCGCCAACTCTCAAGCATTCCCTCACATTCACCATCTGCTGGTTGAACTGACCGCCTTTGCTATTTCGAGATTTGTACCTCTCCAGTTTCCTGTTACGAGAACGAAAGTGCAGCTTCTCTGAAGTTTTTCACGCTGTATCTTTGAGCTCCTAGCGTTGTCTGTCATTTTAACGTAGCACTCTGAGCCCCTTGCGCTTAGTACAAGCTGTACTTTGGACGCTAAAATCCCGGCATTCGCTTTGGGCCGTTAATCCGATAAGATGTGAGATCCCCTGAAGCTACAACGGCTGCTAAAAATCGGCATCGCGAGCGACGGAAACACTATCCGCGGCCGCGGAGACACCTAACAGCCGTATTAGCGGCGACATCGCCGAAAAACGCAAGCGCGGCGACAACGCAATCGCAGCAACAGCGCAAGCGCAACGCGTGCGACACCGGCGGCAGCACGAGTAGCGGCGACGCCGGCGCGGCGACGTCATTGGCAGGCAGCAAGCAACATGAAGAGCATCAGCATCGGCGTCATGGTTTCGCGCGGCGCGCCGGCGCCGGTTGTGGCGCGATGCTCTGGCTTCGTGCTCGTTGCACTGGCTGCTTTCATGCTCTCAGGTATGATGCTCTCACGCTCTCACTTTACTCTCATGCTCTCACTTTACTCTCATGCTCTCACTTTACTCTCATGCTCTCACTTTACTCTCATGCTCTCACTTTACTCTCATGCTCTCACTTTACTCTCATGCTACTTTACTCTCATGCTCTCACTTTACTCTCATGCTCTCACTTTACTCCCATGCTCTCACTTTACTCCCATGCTCTCACTTTACTCTCATGCTCTCACTTTACTCTCATGCTCTCACTTTACTCTCATGCTGTCACTTTATTCTCATGCTCTCACTTTATTCTCATGCTCTCACTTTACTCTCGTGCTCTCACTCTACTCTCAAGCTATCGGTATAATTAACATCATGCTCTCACTATTCTCTCATGCTCTTAAATTCTCATGCTATCACATGCCCTCACTGTATTCTCAGATGCTCTCGTATACTCTTATGCTCCCACTGTATTCTGGTGCTCTCGCCGGTATACGCTCATGACCTCACTGTATTCTGGTGCTCTCACCATACTCTCGTGATCTCACTATCATACTCTGACGTGCTCTCAGGTTTTCCTCCACTTTCCTTCCTCCCCTTTTCCCCCTTTTTCCAGCTTTCCCCATTAAAAAAAAGTCATATTTTTTCGCAAGCTGATCAGGGCTGCCCTTCGCTTCCCCTAGCTTATCATTCCATCCTCCTCCCCCGGCTCCCCTCCCACCTTCCCCCTTCCTCTCCCTCCCACGCACCCGTTCTCAGCATGTGCGCCCAGGGCTGCTGCAGTCATCCTCCAACCTGCAAGTAAGCCTGTACAGAAGAACACGACGAGTTTTTTCGTCATCTCTCTTTCCTCTTGTCGATGTTCTTTCTGTTCCTTCCACATGATATCCGTTCTTCTCCTCGCACCTCGCCCTCTCCTCCTTTCTGTACCTCTCTTCCTATCTGTCCCTTTTTTAAATCTCGTTTCTAATTCAAATCCTCGCCCCGGCCCTCCTTGCATAATCTCGGTTTTGCAGCCCCTCATTTCGCGTCCCCTGCACCCATCCTTTCCCTCACCCAGCATGTGATATTAAGGGCTGTAGTGCGAACAGCACGTGTGACATGACTACTGGAGTGCCCACCTGTGTTTGCGACTCTGGTTTCGTGCTGCAGTCGGATGGCAGGACGTGCGTTGGTAGGTGCTGAGTGTTGTGCCTCAAGGTGCTGAGTGTTGTGCCGATGGGTTCAAAGGCTAATGTGTACTTCATGATCGTGCAGCTGTGCGCTGCCTCTTGCATGTGCTGGTAGTTCTTCTCGCACAGTATTCACATCCTTTCTTTCACATCCCTTTGCTTTTGGTAAAATCCTATCCCCCCCCCCCCCCCCCCCAGCCCCCCTTCCTGATAGTATCTTGCGTTCTACCGCCACTATATTCACGTCCCCTCCAAACCTCCCCTCCCTTCTACTCGGCCTCTGCCCCCAACCAGATGCTTGCCTCCTTAAGGGCTGTGGTGCGAACAGCACCTGTGTCAAGACCAATGGAGTGGCCTCCTGTGTGTGTGACTCTGGTTTCGTGCTGCAGTCAGATGGCAGGACGTGCATCGGTAGGTGCTGAGTGTCGTGACTCTGTGCTCAAGGGCTGCTCTGTGCTGCCTCTAGCATGTGGCGCTAGTTCCTGCGATCGCATAGTTCTCTCAACTTTCCTTTCACATCCCTTCGTTTGTTGTTCACATTCCTTTCCTAACACCCTTCGTGTCACGTCCCCTCCAACTTTCCCGTCCCCTCTCGTCGGCCTCTTCTCCCACCCAGATGCCTGCTATTTCAAGCGTTGTGGTGCAAACGGCACCTGTGTCAAGAACGGTGGAGTGGCCTCGTGTGTTTGTGACTCTGGTTTCGTGCTGCAGTCAGATGGCAAGACGTGCATAGGTAGGTGTTGAGTGTTGTGCCTCTGTTTATAAGGGCTTCTCTGTGCGTGTTGACATACCTCGTGCAGCTGTGAGCTGCATGTGGCATTGCCTTTTTCCCCCTCCCTTTGTATCCCTTTCTGAATTCTCGTTTTTGGTGAATCCGTGGCTTTGCTTCTTCCAACAAATATCTTGATTCCCACTGTCCCTTTTCTCTCGCCCCCTCCATTCCACCTCTCCTCTCTCCTCGGCTTCCCTTCCCACCCCAGATGCCTGCATTGTTCAGGGCTGTAGTGCGAACGGCACCTGTGTCAAGACCAATGGAGTGGCATCCTGTGTGTGTGACTCTGGTTTCGTGCTGCAGGCTGACAACAAGACGTGCACTGGTACGTGCTGACTGTTGTGTCTTGGTTCTCAAAGGCTGCTATGTGTTCACGGGTCTACGTCGTGTAGCTGTGTGCTGCCTCTACTATGCAGCAGTAGTTCCGGTTGCTGCACTGTTTCCTCATCTCTCCTTTTGCATCCCTCTTTCTATGTGCGTTACGGGGTCAATCCCGTCACCGCCCCTCTTACAAGAATCTGAATTCTTCCCCCCCCACCCCCCCCTCCGTTTCACGTCCCTTCCACCCATCCTATCTCCTCTCCATCGTCTTTTACCCTACACAGATGCCTGCAAGATCCAGGGCTGTGGGGCGAACAGCACCTGTGTCAAGACCAATGGAGTGCCCTCCTGTGTGTGTGACTCTGGTTTCGTGCTGCAGGCTGATGGCAGGACGTGCGTTGGTAGGTGCTGGGTGTTGAGCCACAGTGATCACGGGCTGCTGTGTGC